TTCTTCATTTAAAAGAAAGTAATTGCTTTATGCAGATTTTATTACCCAAGAAGAATACAAATTTTGGGTTAACAGGGTGGTTCATTGGGTCGCTAGACCCGACAATCTGAGTTCAATTCCAGGACTTGTGTGGTAGGAGGGAACTAGCTCCCACCAATTGTCCTCTGACCTCTGCCACATATATGTATGTGTATATGTGTATGTGCGCACACACAAGTAAATAAATAATAAAAAAATTAATGCAAATATTCCCACTGAGACTATTGAGGTAGCAAAAGCCCATGTCTAAACAGGATCATTGATGCTTTTCACTCTCATGATAGGTCAGTGTTAGAAACTCTCAGCTAAATTAGACAGAAAAGTGAGTTGTTCTTTTAGAGAAAGAGATTTTGTGTGTTTTGTGTAAGGGAATGTTAAGTTATAACATGGCTTTTCTGTCAGGAGATCACATCCAAAGACCTAGGTCTGTGTGATATGACTGGCAATAGATCACATCCAAAGATCTTCTAGGTCTGTGTGAATACAAACATGCCTTTAGTCCAGGAGACAGAGGCAAGCAGATCTGAGTTTTGGTAAAGCAACTTAGGGGCAATGTAGAAAGGAGGAGGCAGTTTTTACCAGGAGAGTTTTACAGAGAGAGGTTGAAGGCAGACCAAGCCAGAGAATGAAGAGGGAGCCAGAAGATTAGCGCAGATTGCTGGAGTTAGTTTGAGGATAAGCAGAGCAATTCGGGGACTGAGAGAGAAGCCAGATTGAATAAGTTAGCTGGGAGAGGAGTTTGAGCCAAAAGAGCTAAAGTTGAACCAGCCAGTTATGAGCTCAGAAAGAACAAGAAAGGATGAGCTTGTGAGCTTATTAATCATCTCAGAGGAGGCAAACATTCTAGGCCTAGGTTAGACTGTACAGAGGCCAGAAGCTTCCAGGACTAGGCCTAGGTTAGCAGAAGGAGGCAGTAAGCCTCTGAGACAACAATTGAAACAAGTGAATAAAAGGAATAAAAGTTCCATTTATAGTCTTATAACCTGGAAATTCTAAACCAGCTTGAGGAAGTGACCCTGAAAGAAGAAAAAAATGGCATGGTGACTACAATTGTAATCCCAATACTAGAAGGCTGAGGCAAGAGTATTTAACCAAAGACAACTTTTCACTTTGCCCCTACTGTATTTCTATATAGCTACAAAGAGTATAAGCTGGGAGTGGTGAGGCATTCCTGTAATTCTAGCATCTGGAAGGTAGAGGTGGGAGGAACATCACAAGTCTGAGGCTGTGCTGATCTACATGTTGAGTTTTAGACCAGCCAGTGCTACATAATGGGACCCTGTCTCAACCTCCTGATATACACCCACATGCACACAGTCTGTATAGGTTGAACATTCCCCAGTCTGCTAAGAATACTTCACAGTGTTTTGTATTTTGGGGTTTCAGGTTAAGAATTTGTAATCAGTAGTCTAATTTCGCAAATTTAAAAAAACCTTGAAATGTATACTTCTGGTCACAAGCATTTCAGCTAATGCAATTTGAATAGGCATCTTCCCATCTTCCTCAGCCAAGCTGTTACAGCCCTCTGCACACAGTTAAGATGTGAAATGGGCAGTGCGTAGGCTGCAGTGCTGGGAGGAGTTTCAAGGTCAGGAGGTTAACTGTGGCCGTTGTTCCATAGTGGTGTTTCATGAATCCTCGTTTTTTGCTGGTGGCTCATCTTGGGGAACTGTATGCTTTGTAATCAACATTTTGCTGAACGTATTCATGTCTCTGAAATACTTGTTCAGACATTTTTTTACTTCTTGTTTTTGAGCAGTTAAAAGAAGATGGATGCACAGAGTTCAGCTAAAGTCAATTCGAGGAAGAGGAGGAAAGAGGCACCCGGCCCTAATGGAGCCACAGAGGAAGATGGAATTCCTTCAAAACTGCAGCGCTGCGCAGTTGTAAGTGAGGAGCTGTGCCCGGAACACCTGGTGGTGGAGGTGGAAAGCCGCGGAACATTGATGACATTGGTGTTAGTGTCCTTAAGTAATGGGAAGACCTCAGCATACGCGAGAAAGCTGTTATACTTTCTTGCCACATGAATTACAACTCAGGTGTAGGAGCTTTAAAAGGGGGTTGAAAATCAAAGTGGTTGAGAAAATTTGGACAATGTGCAAGTAATTGGCTAGAAATCAAATCTGTAGTAGCAAAATAGAGAAGCTGCGGTTCTGGCTGGTGATTGGGTCTGGGTATCATCTTATGGTGTCAATGACCTGTGTCCTCCTGTCCTTTCTGTGCCATTCTTTTACTGCTGGGCACATCCATCATTGTCTCCTTCATATACCTCCATCTCTGGGACATTGGTGACATACTTTCTAACACCGTTTCCAACTTCCTGCCTTGTCTCAGCTTGGTACCTTTTTAAAGCTTCTCTTAAAAAAAAAAAAAATATATATATATATATATATATATATATATATATATATTTATGTCTATCTATCTATCTATCTATCTATCATCTATCTATCATCTATCTATCTATCAAAAAACACTGGAGATCATTACAGTTACTGTTGCGCCACAATATTATACTGAAGTCCATGTTTCAAATGTTCCTGTTTCATTACCTCTATTGACCACAGTCATTTATCAAATTACTTTGCTCATTACTTCTGAAGCTTTCTGTTTCAAAGGGGAAAATGTTTCTACTCTGAAACAAACTGGTGCTTCCTCTGGGTTTTTTGTTTGTTTGTTTGTTTTAAAAGATTTTGGTTTTTTTTTTTTGTTTGTTTGAGATGGGGTCTCGAATACTGACCTTAAAGTCATGACAGTTCTCTCGCCTCTGCCTCCTAAACCTGGGATTACTGGCATGAAGCCATCATGCCTCACTCAATACTTCCTCTTAAACAATAGTACCATCTCATCCCCACAAGTAGCCGGGTGTTCTAGGCCTGGTGTTGATACAGGTAGGGACAAATGGACCCTTTTCCATTGCTGCTGTGACAGTCACAAGGTAGTGTAGGTGAACAACATTCTGGAGAGTAGAAGTGTGCGGTAGGTGTTAGAGGGCTAACAGCAGTGTTGGCAGAGTGGGGAATGCTAGGGGAAAATCTGTTCCCTTTTGTTTTTTCCTCCAGAGGCTGTTGACGTTGCCTCGCTCATGGTGCTGAACAACAGCGACACTGTTCTGTTGCTTCTGTCATCACATCGCCTCTGGTTTTTAGCTTCCCCACCTTCTATTTACAACATATTTTGGGGGAGATTTCTTTTGCCATATCCATGTTATCCAGAATAATTTTCCTGCCCTGGCTGCTTAAATTTAGCCATATTCATAAAAACCCCTTTTGCCATATAAGGTGACACTGTCGCTGGCTCCATAAAATAAAATGTGGACATTTTAAATTTCTTGTTATTTTTTTGAGACAGAGTTTCTCTGTGTAGCTCTGGCTATCTTGGAACTCATTCTGTAGACCAGGCTTGGCCTTGAACTCACAGAGGTCCACCTGCCCCTCCCTCCCAAGTGCTGGGAGTAAAGGCGTCTGCCACCACCACCCAGCTTATTTTGTTTCTTGAGATAAGGTTTTTGGCGGTCCTGGAATTTTGTAGACCAGGCTGGCCCCAAACTTAGAGATATCCACCTGCCTGTGCTTCCTGAGTGCTGGGAATAAAGGCATACACCACCATGCCTGGCAAAATGTGGACATTTTTAGACAGTATGATTCTACATGTCAGAGAAAACTCAGAAGATGGCTTAGTAGTGACCAAAATAAGGCATTTTACCAGCTGTATTTATTCCCAGCACACCAGTGCTCTAGTACTCTAGAGGCAGAGACCTCTGGGTTCGAATTCTGCCTGGTCTTCTGGAGCGGAGGCCAGTAAACACTACAGGCGGGGCAATGATGGCACAGGCCTTTATAGGAGGTGGAGGCAGGGGTCTCCGAGCTGCAGGCCAGCCTGGTCTACAGAGCAAATTCCAGGACAGCCAGGGCCACACAGAGAAACCCTGTTTCAAAAGGCCAAAAGAAAACAAAGAAACAAAACCTAGGGCATTGTTGATTTCTGAAAGTTTCTCAGAATACAGACTAAAGGGACGGCAGTGGTTCTAGCTCAGCTGGACCACCTGGAGTAGGGACAGCTTCTAGCCGCAAAGTTCCAGGCTCTACCGAGGAGCAGGGCAGAGCTCTGTCTGTTTGGAGAAGTGGGCTTTGAAAAGACTTAAATTCCTTAGAACCCGAGGAATATCATGGCTTTAAATTACTTTGCTTCATAGATTCCTGTAAAATGAATTCGGTATTGCTATCCCCATCTCCTGGCTATGCGCCAGCTGTTTAGCCTTGCCTAATGGCCCCACTCACCCACCATGCTGACTGACCCCGTAGGGAAGAGCATCGCTGAAGCACATTGTCATTGCTAGTGTACACTCTCAACCCTTTTGCAGTCTGTAGCAAAAGCAAACGAGATTTTCCTTCTCTTGTAGCAGCTACATGGAACTATAATTGATATATCATATGACCTATCTCACAGTTGACCTACCCCAGCAATTTTGTACTTTTCTGTGGATTCACAGGGAGTTCTTTAAATCATTACCATAAACAATTTTAGAGTATATTTACTATTCCAACAGAAGTCTTGCATCTACTGGCAAATCAGTCATTTCTGTTCAGCTTTTGTAAGCCACTAGTGTTTCTGCCCCTATGGTGTTGCTTTGTCTAGACGTTATATATAAATGAAAATATGCTATATGTGGTTGGCCTTTTCCACTGAACACATACCTTTGTTCTTTTTTAAAATTTTAGTTTATTAACTTTACATCCCACAGGTGTCTCCTCCTTCCTCTCCTCCCAATTGCCCCCTTCTCCTTCTTCCTCCTTCCCCTCTCCTTTTCCCCCTAGAAAAAGGGAGTCCCCTCTCCCCGTATCAACTCTCCCCAGCACATCAAGTCACATCAGGCCGGAGCGTACCCTCATCCCCTGTGGCCAGGCAAGGCAGTGCTGCCCAGTGGGATGTGATCCAAAAGCCGGCGATAGAGTCCATGTAAATGTATGGAACGCTTCATGAATTTGCGTGTCATTCTTGCTCAGGGGCCATGTTAATCTCTGTATCGCTCCAATTTTACTATGTGTTGCGGAAGCGAGAAGCACTGGCTATGTTTTTAGGATTAACTCGTGTTGTGGTATGTGGCACTGCTTAATTTCTCATTGCTAAATAACATTTCATCTTGAACTGTACCACATTTATTTCTGCACTTACCTGTTGATGTTTGAGTAGAGCAAACAATATTATATTGCATACAGTATGCTATCAAGGCAGTGGCTCCCAGACTTCCTGTGACCCTTTAATGTTGTGGTGACCCCCACCCATAACATTATTTATTTGCTATTTGACAACTGTAATTTTGATACTGTTATGAATAGAAATTTAAAGATCTGATACACAAGATATCTGCTATTGCAACCCCAGAGGGGTCTTGACCCACAGGTTGAGAACTGCTGCTGCACCCTAATTTAAAAGAAAATTCTGAGCTGGGCGTGGCATTGCACGCCTTTATTCTCAGTACCTGGGAGGCAGCAGCAGGCAGATCACTGTGAGTTTGAGGCCAGCCTGGTTTACAAATCAAGTCCAGGGGAGCCAAGGCTACACAGAGGAACCCTGTCTCGAAAAGAAAAAAAAAATATGCAAAAACCCTAGAACTCATATGATATGTAATTATCTTTCAACATTATAAGAGTATGAGTTATGAGGAATTAGGGAAGGATATTTATCTTTTCATTTTTCAGTGTTGTACCAGAAGTTCTAATGGCAATACATGGTGCTAAAAGGAAATAAAACATCCAGATTGAAAAGAACTGCCTTAAATTGTACTTGTTCACAGATGATGTTATCTCATATATAAAGAGTCATAAGGAACCAACAAAACATGACAACCACTAAAATTAATAGGTAAAGCCAGGCATGGTGGCACACACCCGTAATCCCAGCGTTTAGGAGGTAGAGGTGAAAGGATCAGGAGTCCAGAGACCCTTTTCCAAGCAAAACAAACCCAGTAGTTGAGTTATGCCAAGTTACAGGAGCAATATGCAGAAATATGCAGAAGTCCACTGTAGTCACATGTATACATCAATTGCCTCTCTGTAAACGAATCAGAAACAACCTAAAAAGCTTTTGTTTTCCAGGTTCTATTCAGTATAGCATGTGCTAGAAATAATCTTAGGAATAAATTGAATAAAATCTCCAAAGCAAAGCCATGTATGGAGAGACAAGCACACCCACACTCTGGCCTCTGCTTTGCCTCTTTTTTACATGTGGTTCTTTCTCACAACTCCTCTGACCCCTGTTTCCTCTGTCGATGGAGGAGCCTGCTGGAGCACTCCTTGCCTCCAAGGAGCACTTGAACATAATCATATAGGAAGCATTGAGAGCCAGGGGGACACTGAGGAGCTGCTTGCCTTCCTGTTCTCGGGTTGAAGCAATACAGAATGCACGTGGTCACCCTGAAGTTTTGTCACAGGGTCCACAGTCTGCTGTTCCACCATGTTTCGGGGAAGCCATCATGCCAGGCCCAGTTTCTGGGGACTGTGCATAGGTTGCCAGTCAGATTGCTCAGTGTTAGCCCAAAACCACCAGAAGACATTTGCTCTTCGTGCGTGGTTTACTCAGTCTGAGGAGGGTTGCAGCTTGCACTCTTCACTTTGGAATACTTTTTTTGATTCTGTGTTGTAGACCAGGCTGGCCTTGAACTCACAGCACTCCACCTGGCTCTGCCTCCCCAAATGCTGGGATCACAGGCATGCGCCACCACACCTGGCCTGAGTGTTCTTTAAAGCTACATTACTTTGAGTACTTCCTTGAACATCATTGAATTTAACTTAATTTTCTGTCGCGTTCTTGTTCAGGGCTTACGGCAGCCAGCTCCTTTTTCTGATGAAATTGAAGTTGACTTTAGTAAGCCCTATGTCAGGGTAACTATGGAAGAGGCCTGCAGAGGAACTCCTTGTAAGTAACTATTCACTATTTGTCTGCTACAGTGTTGAGCATGCTGGTCTACCTCAGTGTTCCGTTGGTGGGGATAACTTCACTCTGTACAACTTTAAGTTGTTTTTTTTTCCCCTTGGTATACATTTGTTTCCTGGGTGGTTGGCATGGCTGTCATGAAACAAAAAACAAAACAAAACACCACCACCACCAAACCCCTCACAACTAGTAGCCTGATGGCTGAGAATGTCAACTCATTGGTAGGGTGCCTGCCTTGCATTTCAGGTCCCTGGGTTTGAGCCCTGTTGTGGCGGAAAAGAAAGGACAGGTGCCGGCTTTAACTAGGTTGTGTCTTGTTTGCTTATTGGTTTTGTGGTACAGGGAAATCAAACTTAGATCCTTGCTCACGCTGGGCATGTATTTCTTTCCCTATGATTTTGTGTCTGTTTTTGTAAATATCTAATAATCAATATATCAAACTGTCATACGGTTTCAGAATTTTTTCCACAGTTTCTTCCTATAGTGTCAGTCAGCTGTGGTGTTAGTGATTGATAGAAGACAAATATCCCAAGTTAGGAGAGAGTCATCACTTAATTTTATGTTTAGTGATATCATTATATGCTTTTTAAAAGACTTGCTTTCTTCTTTTGAAAGCCCCTTTTCTTTGTTTATATATTTAATTTATATTGTTAGTTAATAATTTTGTGATTTATTTTTAGTGAGCACTCTTGTGCTGCATGTCTGTCTATATGTGTATGTATACATGCTGGATATATGGGCACAATTGTGTGAATACTGTGTATATGGGCATGTGTGCCACAGAGCACATGCGTGGAAGTCAGAGGACATTGTGGAGTGAGTTCTTTCCTTGCACCTTCATGTGGGTTCTGGAGATCAAATTCCTGTCACCAGGCTGTCGACAGTTGATTTTGGAGATTGCCACAAATAGAAGTACTCAATGTGGGAACGTACACCTCTTAATCTCTCAGCTTCGAGGTGGAGGCAGGAGGATCATTCAGATCATCTTTGGGTACCACATAGCAAATTTGAGGCCAGCTTGAAGTTGAGACCCTTTCTCTAAAACCCACCTACTCTGGGCCTAGAGAGATGACTCACCCATTAACTACAGCTTTCTTGACATCCTTTCTGGCCTCTGTGGGCAGTGCATGCACAAGACGTACAGACATGGCTAGTCCCAGCACTTGGGAGGCAGAGACAGAGAGATCTCTGTGAATTCAAGGCCAACCTGGTCTATATAGTGAGTCCAGGATAGCCAGGGCCATATGAGACCCTGACTGGAAAATAACAAAACAAACAAAGGTGCATAATGCAGACAAAACACCTATATACAAAAAAACCAAACAAACAAATAAAAAGAAACAAAATAGACCACCTGCCCATACAGACAAATGAACCTCTTAAGCGTTTATTGTAAATACTAAGTCACACAGGCGGCTATTCTTCCTGTCTTTTTTTATAAATCTCTTGTTCTTTCTTTACTTTTTTCTAATTCTTTTTCCCGTCCTGCTTACTGTGATAACTGTTCTGTCTGCTCTGCAGATGTAGGGCTGAACTTATCTCCGGGCAATCTCAAAGAGAAAGAGGCCTTTACAACCACAGTGCATTCTCATACGTGTGTGTACATGCCCCTTTATCATTGTTCCTGGTTGGCCTAGAGCTCTGTGCACACCTGACCAGGCTGGCCTGGAATTAACTCACAGGAATCCATCTGCCTCTGCCCTTTCACCCCTACCCCAGCATTGGGGTTAAACTGCCATTCCTGCATGTGATTCCTTTTGTTTTAGGGTTTTTTTTGTTTTTTTTTTTTTTAACACAATGTCTCTCCATGTAGCCCTGGCTGTCCTGGAACTCCCTCTGTAGACCAGGCTGGACTCAATGCACAGAGGTCCCCGTCTGCGTCTGCCTCCAGAGTACTGGAATTAAAGGCATGCCCTGTGATTATTTATTTATTTTAATGTAAGTTTGTTGTTTGGTCTACTTGAATGTCTATGTGAGGGAGTCAGATCCACTGGAACTTGAATTATAGACAGCTGTGAGCTGTCATATGGGTGCTGGGCATTGAACCCAGGTCCTCTGAAAGAGCAATCAGTGATCTTTAACAGCTGAGTCATCTCTCCAGCCATGATGTGATTACTTCTTTTTTTTTATTCTCATGTTTTAAATTTTTTTTATTAATTACACTTTATGCACTTTGTATCCCCCCTGTAGCTCCCTTCCATGTGATTACTTCTTAATTGTGTTTCTGTTTGTTTGTTTGTTTCTAAGGAAAGAGTAGTAAAGTTTGACTAGAAATCATGCTGGACAGTGTCATTGCTAGACACAGCCAGAACTCATTGGCTGTCTTTTGGCTGTGTAAAATATTATAATCCCTAGATTACTAAAGCAACAATAATAAAAACCTAGTCCTTGAGATTTTTTTTTCTGCAGAAAGTATTTAGATATGGCTCATGTTGCACAACCTTTCTGACTCATGAAGAGAATTTAATTAATTTGTTTATTTATTGGGACAGGTTTTCGGTATGTAGCCTTTCAACTTTTTTAAAATTACATTTATCTCCGTGTTTTCTATGTCCGTATATGGTATGTATGCCACATTATGGGTGTTGAGGTCAGGGACAGCTTTCAGAAGTTGGTTCTCTTCTTCTACCGTATGTCTTAGGAATTGAACTCAAGTTAGCAGGCTGGTGGCAAGGACCTTTATCCACTCAGCCATCTTACTGGCCTGGAGGTCAAATTTCAAAATGGCAGCAGCTCATGTCTCACATTCAGACACAGGAACAGAACCTGTTGGAGTCAAGAAATGTTTATGGATTACATAATGATACACACTCAGAATTCAAACCTCACTTAGATCTGTTGACAGTTATTCAAATGTTGCCAGTTTATCTACAGAGCATCGTGGTACATTAAGAAACTGCAAATCTATGTAGCCGTAGGCTGGGAGAGTAGCACCTGTGGAAGAACATGGGCTTAGCACTCCGGAGACCCCGAGTTCAATGTTAGTGCTAACAGAACACAAAAGGAATATGTATTTAGTATTTTCAGAATCTTATCATATAGAAACACTGATGAATCTAATTATTTAAACATTTTAGAATAGAATTGTTTCTCTTTCTTCCTCTTGGTTTTTTGAGTCTGGGTTTCTC